AGCTATCAATTACCGCATAATATTAGGAGTAATAATAACCCCTCTGAAATTATGCGTTAAATTTTTCAAAGATTTTTTTTTTAAAATATTCAAATCTAGAGACGAAGAAAAACTACAAGGAGTCTATTTTTTTTTTTGTATAATTTTGTACATAAATATGTACAAAATTATTTAAACAGAATCCTTATTGATAATTATGTAAATAAACCTTCAAGAATATTTTAAAAAGTGAAACCAGTCAGGCATTTTTTGTAATGATTTGTGGAAATAAATGTATTTCTAGTAATATCATTAAATCTCTGAGTATTTTGGTGAGTTCTTCTCAGTGGATAATAATATTCCGACCTTACTAGAGCCTACTGGATTATACTAAATAGTGACATATTTGAAAAAAGGTTATTTAAAGAAATAAAAATGTTTTCTATTCTATTATATACAGTTGCTTTCAATTCATCCACTATTACGATCTATAGAGAGTAAATCATTTTCAGAAAAAAAAAGAGAAAACTACATTGCATTAGAAAAAGAGAGTGAAGAAATAAATCGATGTGAGGACTGTAACAATGGGCCGAAAAACGATAAAAGATTCCCGCGTTGCAAAAATAAAGAGAAATTTCGTGCTTTGCAGTACGAACGTGTATCTGCAATACGAAAGCTTCAATAAGTAAGTCCCGTCGTATCCATATCTATGTACTGTCTCTTTCTCCCCGGGATTTATGTTGCCCTGTCCTTTCACAGATGAATATACTGTTATATGTTTTTGCTGTGTTCGGTTTAATGTCAATTTCTTTCCGGGATATTACATTTGATTAATTACTGCAAGCGTTGTTAGATTTGTATTCTCAGATTTTGCTATATTGTGTGCGCTTTTTGGATTTATAAATGAAATCGATTTAATAAGAATAACATTATCTTTTACACCAGTAACATTAATTATTTTTCTCAAACATGCTTGGAAATGTGAGCATTATTTTGATAATCTTCTTAGAGATAAATCAAAATTGCCGTACTGGCCAGATACATGCGGGCAGAGGCCGGCAAAAGTTGTATGAAAATCCATATCTATCGTGTTTTGCGGCCAGATAAATTACTATGTAAACTCATATCTGTCCTGTAATTTAAAAATAGAATGACCTTTTACTTCGAAGCGTGGTTAGTAAGGAGGTAACTAATAAAAGGTTTTATTTAAATTTCGAACTGGTTTGCAAATAGAAAACTGTTTATTGAAAAAAAAAAAAACAAAGGACCATTATGGCGCGTCAAAATTATTATTGTTCGTTATTCGCCATTGAACTTAAAAGTAAATTTTGATTTCCGCACATTGTTTGAGAAAAGTACTATACAAGCCTTGGCCACAACTAGGCATTGATGGACTCACGTACGTGTGCTTCGGCTGCGCCTCGGCCCACATTTGCACGTTCGTCCATCAATGCCTCAGTTGCTGGCCGCTGCAGTAATGTACTATTACATTCATTATTTTGACAATCACTGTTAGTAATATTTCAAACTGTTTTTATTTCTATAAACCTATTTGTATCTATAGAAATATTTATAATTGAAAATCAAGACATTTCTATGACTACAGGTGTATTGAAAATGTTATAAAAATCTGCATTATTGGTAAACGGTTTAAAGTTATTTCTTATCTGTTAAATTTAAAATTATTTTACTATTATATCAGTCTCCCATAAGTGAGATGATGCCAATAGTTGCCATACTTGACAGGCGCATTGGCAACTGCGGTTAGACTTCAATGATATTTTAAGAAAGAAGCTGCTGCTCATCCCCCGTACCTTCGTCGCCTCATACGACATCCACGGGACAAATGGGATGGTCCATTCTATGCCGGCACCATAAGACAACCTGTTTAATATTTTGATTCATTCGTTATAGAAATAATTTTATAATAGAATTCAAAATCTTATATCTGTATGTATAGAACGCTTTTATCAATGTAACTACATAATTTTTAATGGTACTTATTTATTTATGCAATAAGAGAACTGTTATATATGTCCTAAATATATAGACAACATTACAAAAGCACTGCAATTTGAAATAACGAATCATGTCTAAAATAACCGGCCATGAATCTTTTGTACTCGTAGGTGGCGGTCACTGTATTAGAGTATTATCATCCATCTATTGAGCGGACATCCAGAACCGGACAAGACAAATATCTATTCTGGACCATTAATCCTTCTAATCTTGACAGACCACCGGAAGGTGTATAGGCTCGAGTGAGGATATTTATCAACAGGACTTGAGTGCTCCTGATTTCTTGTTCGACCATATGATAATGTATATATGGCTTTTTTCCATTCGTTATTAGAAGTGTTTTTGCAGAACAAATGTATTTATTTCCCTCTAATTTGTCGGAGATATTTCGAGCTGGCTGATTTATTTATTGTAAACGTTTGTTTGTTGAACGAATAGGATGGGAAGCTGTTTTTATTGAAGATAAATCATGTTTAGGGTAAACAATTTTGCATAATTGAAATTACCTTTATCGTAAATCTAATAAGCATATAAATTGAGATATAAATTTTAATACTGATTAGTAATATTTTTAGCAGTAACTATTGAATTATTGAGTCAATAATTTGGAAAATATGAAAAGTGTTATACAACCTTCGATTAGATAGAGCTACGACATATGTGAGGTGGCGGGAAATAACCAAAAATAGAATAAATCAAAGTAAAGAGCTAAAGGTCATGCTCAATGGCCTATGTCCAGCAGTGGACTGATGGTCTTTTTTAGTATTTGCTTCATTTTCTGTTAACACAAGAAGTCAACGTTTCATAAACCATGTCAAAGACTTTGTACATATAGCGAAGATAACAATTCTCGATACCAAAGAACACTATCCTAGCTTGACTGCATTACAACATAATGCACTTTCTTGATACAAAGAGCAAACAAGCATACAACTTACTTGATTATATAATTACCACCGCTCATGAGCATCCACAATACTGAAGGAATTACAGATTAGACTTAGAAGAACGTGTCTACCAAATTTACAATAAAAAAAGGCCTGGAACGCAAATGTCCAAAGGTGAAGATAGCATCAGAGGTATAGAGAGAATAATAATAGAGGAATCATCTTGTTCGTCATTCACATTATAGTTTTAAAATGTAATTTATTAGTATTGCTTTATCTACTTCCTGGACCTTACTTGAGATCTAGAACATTTCTTCCAAAAAAAAACGTAGGTGACAATTTTTTTGTTTTCAGTTTATCTGCTAAAATGTTTCATATGTAGTATAATAATGAGAGAAGTGATGATGATGATAATGATATCGATTGCAGTTTGTTTAAAAAAAACGAAGAATTTCGTTATAATAATAGGCAGACAGATTAATGATCAAGTTAGAATGTTGTATACAAAAAACCACGCCGTGAAAATAAACCTCTAAAAATAGATTGTAAAACTAATTATATTAACTAATAAAGAGCCAAGAGATTTTATTTAATAAACGGACGAAGCAATATTCGGTCCGTGCCTTGAAGTGCTCTGTGGTAGCACACTAATTTAATTAGAGGCTGATTAATTACTACCCAATTATACTTGATGAATTTACCCTTTGACACTGACAGTGGCTTTCCGTATATTGTAAAATGTTCTCTATTAGAATATACTGTATTCTTACGAAATACAATGATATTTTAATAATAATAGTGTTCCATTTCGTATGGACGTTAAATAGTACATTAATGATTACTATTTACATTGAAATTCATAAGGAAAGGAAAATTATAATTGAAAATTTATTACTTACTAACAATTTAAGGTATCACTGCTAATAATTTTTTTTTATACTACTTAGAATGGCAAACAAGCTGACGGCCCACCTGATGGAAAGTGGTAACCGTTGCCTATAGACATGAGCAGTACCATGGACATAACAGAGTATACTGTTTCGCCCATGATAACCCCCATGCGTTGCCATTCCTGAGGACTCAGGTGTTATTCCTCTGTACCCAGTAAATTCACGCTATATCCCACCCTTTAAACCGAAGTTTGTCGTTGGCACCCGACAAAGATTAACAATTCACAATTTGTTATAATAAAAAGTATATAGTGGGCGGGTATTAATATAAAAGAAAAAGAATATAAAATTGGCATAATGTTCATTGCTGATCAGACAATCCCGAAACATTGTAACGTCAGTAAAAGCAAAAATAAAAGATAAAAAAAAGAATTTTCCAAATCGGTTAAGAACTGACAGAGTTAAGAGGTAATAAACATAAAAAATACAACAGAATTGATATCATGCTTTTTTTTAAGTCGCTTGAAAAGCTTTTTGAAATAAAAAGACCTATTTTGTATGATGTTTCATGCACTAGTTTCACTATTGTTTAGAATCTAATATTCATCGTATGCAGCACTATAATATAAAGCGAATTATGTTTTTTTTTATTGTTTCTTCTTTCAACTCTCCTTAAAGCTTAGATTACGAATGAAATAAATATTATCAAATTTAAAATTTCATATATATATGACCTAATAAAATTATAATAGTTTTTTTTTACTTTTAAAGTAATGATTAACGTTGAAAAAATAAATACGTAGATGTAAGTATAGACGCTAAGTAGGTAAAGGCTACGTAAATTTGAAAAGATTTAGTTGCCTATTCAAATATTTAAATTGTAATATTCGCAATTAATTTTTAAACTTAATTAATTCCATTATTATTTTTACGAAATGGGCATGAATAATTTCTTTTGATCTTAATCTAAAATTTACAGACTTGGTTCGAGTAAGTTATTCGTAAAAGCGATTAGTAATACGATTACGGCATTTTCCAAGCAGTCAGATTAGATTTAAAAACTGCGTCTTAAAGTTAAAAAACTAGAGGTGACCTATTTACGGTGTTAATAAAAACAGACTTCATCAAACTCGGTCACAGATACGATAACCAGATCCATTGTATTTCCTGTTTCAGCATTGTTTAGCTAATCTCGAGTGATTAACGTCCTCCCTTGTTGTTTCAGGCAGTCGGCCGATGTAAACATAAAGCCGAAATGAGATGAGTATGCGTGTGGCGTGGGCCAGGTGGTACTGGATTGTTATATTCACGACGTGCGCTGCACGGACCGCCAGCGACTGGCTCGACTGCGCCCACATCGCAACCTGTCGTTGCAAATGGTCCTCGGGCAAGAAAACAGCCACGTGTGCCTCCAGTGACCTACGCCGCCCACCATCTCTCTCATCAGATATCCAAGTCCTCGATCTGCACGACAACCCGCTAAGAAATCTGCCCCAAGCAGTTTTTGCTAATATTGGCCTTTTGAATTTGCAAAGATTGAATCTGAAAGCGACGAAATTGAGGTCGATCCATGCCGATGCATTTTTAGAGTTAAGAATTTTAATCGAAGTCGATTTAGCCGATAACGACCTGTCTAACCTACCGAGAGATATATTTAGAGGCAACGAAAGACTGCGCCTAGTTGTACTAAGCAACAATCCTCTGACTACATTAATTGCAGACCAATTTCCACCATTACCGCATTTACGGATGCTTCTATTAGATGGTTGTAGACTGAGATCTTTGCATACAAATTCATTGAGAAATCTAAAATCACTAGAGACAATAGATTTACGTAGAAATCAGCTAACATTCCTTCGTTTAATCACGTTTTCATTACCTGCTTTAAAGACTGTGTCACTGTCAGGAAATCCATGGCGATGTGATTGCCGTCTTCGTGAGTTTAAGGACTGGTTTTTAGATAGTAAATTGGGTACAGAAGAGTTAGTGTGCGTAGAACCGTCAACACAAGCAGGTAATAAGTGGCGTAACGTACCAAGTGACAGTATGGCCTGTGCGCCAGAAGTGCGATCAAGTACATTAGTGGTTAGAGCTGAAATCGGTGCACCTACATCTTTCGGTTGCTGGGTTCATGGAGTTCCAAAACCACAAATTACATGGTTATTTGATGGTGTAGATGTACATAATGGTACTGTTGATGTCGATATGGAAGAGTCAGAAACTAGTATAGACGATGATAATTTCGAAGTTAGAGTACCTGGAAGTGTTAGATGGGTTAATATTACTCTTTTAAATGTAACCTCTAGTGCTGCTGGAGAGTGGACGTGTGTAGCTAAAAGTATCGCAGGAGAAGCGAGAGCTATTATAAGTTTAGTTTTGCCCAGATCCCAAACCGCAACTGCTCGTACTGCTCCTGGTATTCCTCAGCTTTTAGGAGTTGTATTTGGCGCTTTAGGTGTTTTAGCCAGCCTTGGATTTATTGCTGCTGTTGCCTGTTGGCATTTAAGGAGAAGAACTGTTCCAGCGAGTCGAAGCTTTACTGACCAAGAAAAAAGACTTATCGATGCATCAGTAGTTGTTAGCTGCGATCGCTCTATCGGAGATATGGCCTCGCCTTGTGATTTTGAGTTAACTGAAAGATCATTATCAGTTGATGATAATCAACCTAGAGGGTGTGGTTTCGACCCTGTTCATATAACTATAGAAGGTACTCCTGGAACTTTTCCGCCTCCTCCAGCGGAGTTTGCAGTACCTGTTCCTTATGGCAATATATTCATATCCGTGCAAGTGGCAGGGAGAGGTGAGCCTGGAAAGTATCCAGATTTATTGAGTGGTGGAGCTACTCTACCGAGGCGGAGTAGAACATGTTGTGCTACACCTGCATATGATAATATGGGTCCAAGAGTGACAGCTACTGGAAGTTCTACCTGGTCATTGCCAGGCGCCAACTCAGAAAACGCAGAACAGTCAGAGACACCTGTTTTAACATTACCACCTCCACCTCCAGAGTTTGTCTCCCTTTAGCCTAGGCCATTGGTACTAGACGCCTCTAACCTGAGGTGACCTGGTACCTAGGACATTTCGAGTCAATTAGACTATTCCCAATTTTATTGTATTTAATGCAATTTTGACGTGATTATTCATTTGTAAATAGTTTAGAGTGCTAAGTGCGGACGATGTGTGACATCCTGTGAGATAATAAGTAAGATTGTTATCAATATAACATTATATTGTATAATAAACTATTTAAGAAACTTGTTAATATGTTGGGATGATTGAAGTTGCGACATCTTCAAAGAGATGAGAATGCGTCTCAAGTTAAATGCCGAAGATTGCTTTGTAATCTGTGAACTACTCGTATTTAAGTGAGACGTACCGTAACTTATTTCGCATTTCTCATTAAATATTACAGCTAGTTTTTCACCTTATTTGTCTCTAGATATTCCTTTTAAGTCTTACGCGTATGTGTCTTCCCAACTTTTGTAAATATCATTTATTCGTATTATACAAACTTCCCAAACATAAGACTGACCCTTTTGTCTTGTTTTCGTCTCTCTTTGTGACTTTAACGAAAGTGTATATACACCTCTTAGACAAGATAGCTTCAACATTTACTTTAAAAGCAAAATATCTAATGTAAATGAAAATAAACAGATGATGTACAAGATGGTATCGTTTTATTGTATGTATCCATCGTTTCACTTGGGAACTACAAATATTGGAATGACAGTGACAATGGATAGCCATCAAGAGATTTAATTCGCCGAGGGCTATAATATCATGAACGTTATTTATGATCAGCTATATCATTGGAAAATTACAGCGAATTGGCATTATTCATTTGATTTGTTTAGAATTTAGATTGTAATATGTATTCATTCTATGCTTACTTAATCCTACTATAATTATAAATGTGAAAAGTTTGTAAAGATGTTTAGATGTTTATTTATACTCAATTGAGATTTAACAACTGAACGGATTTAAAGCTATTTGACATATAAATAAAACCTATACTGGATTTATATATAGGATTCTTATATCGTAATAATCTTAATTCCTGATGATAAAGTCGCAAGAAAAATTTGATGGTTTAAACACTACAATAACTGTCATAAAGAACTATGTGTAATCTAATCACATATGTTTCTTTAATGCTATGGCCATGATCATAACGTCGTCATCGTGGTAAGTACTCATTAGTTATGGATGAAAATCAATAATAATGCAGATAGCTTAGGACAGTTCCTTATGGCAGTTTAAGGGGGAGACCTATGTTTAGCAGTGAACAGATAATGGCAGAGACGATAATAATGAACACAAAACTCAAGAATAATTGAATTGAACTAAAAGACATGTTTTTTTTTTCAAATATTTGTTAAAGTCCAATAAAGGTTATTACGAACAAACAAAAAAAAGAATATACTCAGTAAAATGTAAAGCCCCATTTTTCCCCATAAAGTCCATTGTAAGCTGCTAATTTAAATTTCATAGCTTGTAACAAAACGACGTCTGTTGGTTGAGCTAGTTGAAAGCGTTCATAACTTTAGCTTATGGAAGTGCGGTCACGTCGCAATTATCTATCAATTTTTAACAAAATTTTAAAGATTTTCAATGTTTCTGGCTTATTATTTAAACAGGGCTCTGCTTACAAACTAAAACAGTAATTAAAGACTACGTTGCATATGAATCTGTCACTAAACACTTTCCACTTACTTCACATTTAGTTTTTTAAATATTTCAAACACATTTATGCGATTAAAAATTAATTTTTAGCAACAATTTGATAACAATATTGTTTATGCAGTAATATATACTTCAAAATATCTAAATCTTATTTTTATATTCGTTCATTCGTGTCTCGGTTTGAAGTGTGGGATATGGCAGTGAATTTTCAGAGTACAGAGGAATAACATCCGAGTCCTCAGGAATGGCAACGCATGGGGGTGTTATGGGCGAAACAGTATACTCTGTTATGTCCATGGTACTGCTCATGTTTCTACACAACGGTTACCACTTTCCATCAGATGGGCCGTCAGTTTGTTTGCCATTCTAAGTTGCATAAAAAAAACCTAGTAAAAAAATGTAACTAGGATTATCGTTGATTCTGGACTCTTCTGTTCGACGCTTGAACAAGCAAGCGTGTCTCTGCGATTATATTTCAATTACTCAGTAAATTATAAAGATATCATTTATATGATATTGTCCAATCAGAATACTTCTCGGTGTGTTTACAAGAAATAAATCAGAAGGGGAATTCAGTCAATTTCAGTTTCATTTCCAAGCCAAGTGGTTTTGACCACATGTGTCCTCGATTAAACATTATTATATTGGACAAATATTATAGTATGATTAGTATTTTAATTTGTTAGCAGAGAACGTTTTAAGTAATCTGTCAGAAAGATTGAAAATTGTTATTTTTTTTTTAAATTGCCAAAATATTGCGTGGCGACGAGCCATACTTTCATAACCTTTTTTTTTATAACAAAGGGTGCAAACGAACATGCGGCTCACCTGATGGTAAGTGACTACCACCACCCATGATCACCCGCAACACCAGAGGCTTGCAGGTGTGCTGCCGACCTTTTAAAAAGAAATATGCTCTTTTCTTGAAGGTTATGAACACTCTTAAGTACATATAAAAAACAAGTAAATGTACGTGACCAAAAAATTTATAAAGTGAGAAAATTTATACATACAAGAAAAGGTAAGTTGTATTAAGGAAGAATCCATACCATGCTGGTACGATATGATGTCGAAATCGAAGGGTAAGGGCGTGAAAATTCGACTTTAATATGTGTGTGCCTACCATGAAAAAAGTTCCGAAATTTCCGCATCGAGCAAAATAAGAACTTGATGTTAAAATAATGAAACGGGAAATGATGTCTTATATATATATATATATATATATATATATATATATATATATATATATATATATATATATATATAATACAACTTAGAATTTTATATATATATAAAAATAAAATATATTTTATTTCCAAAAACAAAAAAAACCAAGCGCAACCAGCCGGACTGCTAGTATACGACTACAATAATAAAAGAGAAATCAACAGAAAGCACTATAACGTGGGGCAATTTCGCCCGTTACAATCCCACGGGATTGCAGACAAATCCGACCCCATGTCAAGGTTGTCCAGCAAATATATGCCTCCGAGTTATTGAGCATGTCGGTTGCACAATATATTAGGCATGGGTAATATCAGTACCGAATTGATATCGACTCGTATATATTTATATATAATTTTTTTTATTGGATGAAAATGGAATGATTACTCCGCCTACGCTAACGGGATACGCTGGCGGGGCACCAGTGAAGGGTGATAGATGAGAATGAATCATCATGATGAATTCATCTGGAATTAACCATGATAGTTTCCAAGAGGAACCGCGAGGAGGTCGACCTGGTTAGGTAAATTGCTAGCAATGGGATTCTCAGTCTCCATTACTAACAATCCCTTTTCCCCCTATATTTATATATTTAAACTTTAATGCCACAGTAAAAATCTATATACATTTGGTGGACTTAACACCGGACGGTGTTCTCTACCAGTCAATAAATGGGCGAACCGAGAAATAAGTAGGTAGAAGCAATACTTGATATATTCATATAATATAAACATATAATTATACTAATATAAACATACACATAATATGATAAATAAATAAATAAAAACATAAAATATTTTCTTGTAATTATTTGTATTTATATTAAGTTTACTCTTTTCATCTTATGAAAGAAACAATACAGAGCATCTATCTATCTACATAAAATATTACAATATCAAACAATTAACTGTAATAGAAGAGCAAATAGTAATCTATGACTCAAACAGAGTAACCAGCAAGGTTAATTTTAACCCATACCAATAGAATATCTTTATTTTTTATGTAACTTAGAATTGCAAACAAACTGACGGCCCACCTGATGGAAAGTGGTAACCGTCGCCTATAGACATGACCAGTACTATGGACATAACAGACTGTTTCGCCCTTGATATCACTCATACGTTGCCACTCCTGAGGACTCAGGTGTTCTAAAAACAACTGTATTATGAAAAATATCATACTACTATTATAAATCACAGGACATGTGGTCCCGGCATAGAATAGGCCACCCCTTCCTTTAACGTGGGTGTCGTAAGAGGCGACAAGGAGCGTCCCTCTTTAAACATCACCAAAGCCTAACTGCTCTAGTCAATCTACCTATGTAACAACTGGAAAAACTCCTCAATAAGGCGAGGCCTACACTCAGCAGTGGCCAGATAATGACTGTAATGATAAAGATGACGATGATCAAAATAACAGGGTTTAAAATGAATAAATAATTATTATAAAAAACTCCTTGTCCAGTTGGAGCACCGAGCGACAAAAACAGTTTCAAAAACGGTTAACCAACTGTTAGCTTACGCTTTATTTATTCATACAGAGTGTTCAAATGTTTATTTTATTATTGGAGTGTGCAAAAGTCTGAATATGTACAATACTAGCTGTTTCCCATCGCTTTGCCCGCGTCAATCAGCATATAAAGTATCCTAAATGTTAAGATAGGATATAATCTATATGTGTGCCAAATTTAAATCGATTTCAGTCAGCCGCTTAAGCGTGATTGGGAATTGATTCTACAGAGGTTTTTTAAGGTTTTTTTTTTGTGGGATGATAATGGAATGGTAACTCCGCCTGCGCTAACTGTATACGCGTCAGGGCACCAGTGAGAAATGGTAGATGAACATGAAAAGGTAGATCAGTTAGCCCATCGTATTAAATCCCACACGAATTCATCACGATGGTTTCTAGGGGGAACAGCGTGGAGGTCGACCTGATAAGGTATATTGCAAGTAATGGAGCTGGCAAATCTCTATTACTAGCAATCCCTTCCCCCCCCCCCCGTGTCTTCAGGGTTTGCACGTAATGCCTCTGATGTTGCAGGCATCCATAGACTACGGTAACCGCTCACGAGAAGTTGGACCATATGTTTGTTTGCTACCTCAGTAGTACTAAAAAACATCTAAATAACATTTACAAACTTTCACATTTATAATATTAGTAGGCTTAGTATTTATACATTTTTTTTTATGATAAGAATCACCAATTTCAAAATTAATGCAATTTTAAAAACGCATCGTTATAAAAATTAAGTGAGTCTCTCTCTCCCTTCAGTCGTACACTCTTGGCAGAGTGGTCGTGGTTTTCACAATGACAGTGGATCGTCGATGAGGCTCTCCTTCGCGATTGAGGAAGTGAGTCTACTGTATGTGATATTATAAACATACATGAATATAAATGTAATATACAATAATATAACTAATATATATATATATATATATATATATATATATATATATATATATATATATATATATATATATAATATATTTTTAAGAAAGATACAGTTGCATAAGGTACAATTTGAGGAAATATCTGCATTACTATCAGTCCCCAAACTAGGCCAGACCTGTATCTTGGGGACTATGAGTGCGATTACCTATTTATTAGTACACTTTATTTACCAAAAACTAAAATAAATAAATAAGGAAAACTATGTAAAATGGTGAGTACGTGTGTGCGTGCGTGCGTGTGCGTGTGCGTGTGCGTGTGTTGTGTGTGTGTGTATGTGTGTATGTGTGTACGCGCGCGTGTGTATATGTT